GGCTGGGTGCTAGGGGCGGGGGCTGGCTGCATTCCTGGCCTGCAAGGAGACCCGTCCTCCCTCCCTGCCTCATGGGTGCGGGGGTCCTGGCAGGCGCTGGGCTTGGCGGCGGAGGTGGAGGGAGGGCTGGTGGGGGCAGGCCAGCTGATCAGGAACAGGGAGGGGCAGAGGGAGGCAGCCGCTCCTGAGCACTTCTGGTCCAGTTGGGAGAGAGTCTGCTGGCCAGTCTGCTGGCCGTGGGGAGAGCCCCCCTCAACCCTCCAGCTACTCCCTTCTGGGCTCAACCTGTCCTGCAGGTCAGTGGGGGGGAGCCAGCAGGGGTGGCTGAGCTAGGCTGGGCGTGGTCTGACCCCTCCCCAGTCCCCGCTGTGTGGAAGGGCAGGGGCCTGGGCGGCGGGGCTGGAGTGTGGGGTGCTGAGGGGCTGCCCCTCCACATACAGCCTGGTGGCTGAGGCGAGGGCTGGACACACCCCGCCCCGGCGCCGGCCCGGCCCGGGAGGCTCGGCAGGGCTGTGGCTCTGGTTTGCAGGCATGGCCACCAGCAGAGGACAGGGGTCCCCAAGGCTGTGGCTTGTGTCTTGGGGAGAGAGCCTCAGACAGCGGCTGGTAACTGGTTTAGTGTGCAGGGGACCCTGGGAGCCCTTGGAGGGGTCAGGCAGGCCCGAGCTGCTTTCCTCCAGGGCCCCCAAGGTGGGTTCTAGGGACCTGGAGTAGTGGGCTGCCTCATGGCGGCCCCGCCGGCCCGGTCATCAGAGTGCTACCTTCTCACCAGGCTGGGCATGGGCTGCTGGCGGGCTGCGGGTCCCTTGGAGGCAGTGGGCTGGCGCACCTTTGCCCGCAGCTGCTGCAGGCACAGCTCGGGGAGGGGGTGGGGTGGCCGCCTGATGCCGTCTAGACCAAGAACTGCAGGGCTGCCTCCCTTCCCTCTCCTCCCCTCCCTCCCCTCCCCTTCCCTGTCCTTGCGCTGGCATTTATCTCCTATCTACTGGTGGGGGGATCTGAGTGCTTGGCAGGCCACACAGTGGCGGGGTGTCCAAGCTGGGCCTGCATGGCCAGAAGTCCAGAGGCTGGAGAGGGCCGAGGGGCTGGGCACAGGGAGGGGCAGGCAGGCATGGCCAGGGCTGCTTCTGGGAAGAAGGAGGCTGTGGGCAGCCTCAGGGTGCGGCTGGCTGCCAGTGGGGATGCCTGGGTCCCAGGCTGGCCAAGGCTGGCTCTGCCGGCTCGGCCTCCCCTCTTCACAGGGTTATCTCCAGACACACAGTAGGCAGGCCTCCCAACAGTCAGCCTAGCCCAGCACTTTCCTCGTGAAGTTCCCGGAGGGGACGAGGCCCATGTAGAGGTTGTGTGGGGCTGCGGGAGTGCGGCGTCCAGCCCCAGGCCGTGGGCAGCGCTTGGGCCCACTGGGGGCTGTCGGGGTGCTCAGGGGCCCCAGCCAGACCCCTGTTCATCCGCCCCGCCTGCACGAGCCCCGGCCTCTCAGCCTTCTGCTCCCCAGGCCCCCTGGACCTGGTGATGTGCAGACCTGTCCCCCACACCTGGTCTCTCTGGAGGCCAGAGCAGGTCGTGGGCCCCTGGTTCAGATGCAAACTTGGATTTTATCTGAGCGCACCTTGTCCCAGCTCGGGGCCTGCTCTGAGGGGCCTTGCAGGTGAGGCCTGTGTGTGGTGGGGTGTTCTGGCTCTGGGTGAGGTGTGTGTGTGGTGGGTGTTCTAGCTCTGGGTGAGGTGTGTGTGGTGGGTGTTCTAGCTCTGGGTGAGGTGTGTGTGTGGTAGTGTGTTCTAGCTCTGGGTGAGGTGTGTGTGTGGTGAGGTGTTCTAGCTCTGGGTGAGGTGTGTGTGTGTGGTGTTCTAGCTCTGGGTGAGGTGTGTGTGGTGTGGTGTTCTAGCTCTGGGTGAGGTGTGTGTGTGGTGGGTGTTCTAGCTCTGGGTGAGGTGTGTGTGTGGTTGGTTGTTCTAGCTCTGGGTGAGGTGTGTGTGTGTGGTGGGTTTTCTAGCTCTGGGTGAGGTGTGTGTGTGGTGGGTGTTCTAGCTCTGGGTGAGGTGTGTGTGTGGTGGGTGTTCTAGCTCTGGGTGAGGTGTGTGTGTGTGGTGTTCTAGCTCTGGGTGAGGTGTGTGTGGGGTGGGTTTTCTAGCTCTGGGTGAGGTGTGGGGGGTGGAGGTGCTCTAGCTCTGGGCACTGCAGCTTCTCGTGGTCGGAGGTGGCCTCTTTCTCCTGTGCCCCATACTGGAAGGAAGGCTGTGTTCTGGGCCCTTCCTGGGGTGTGTGTGTCATGGAGGAGCAGAGTGGGGGTCATGGACAGCAGCCAGAGCTGCTGGGCCTCTGTGAGGAGCTCCCTGCATGCTCTGGGGGCGGCCATGGCCTGGGCTGCAGGAATCCTGCTGGCCTTGGTCCCAGGGACGGGCTGCTGACCTCCCTGGGGTCCGGGGAGGGGGCGGTGATACCCGGTGTGTGCCCGAGATTGGCACTGGCCCTCCCTGAGCCTCCGCCCCCATCCCTGGGAGGGGCTGGGAGGGTGGGCAGCCTGTGAGCCCTCCAGCGCTGAGCACCCACACCTGCGGCCCAGCACTCTATTCCCCCCTGCTCTCCCAGCCTGCTCTGCCCCCCAGACCCTGCTCTGTCCTCCCGACCCTGTTCTGCCCCCGCCCCTGCCCTTGCTCTGCTCTCTGGCTGGGGACCCCAGGGAAGGGAGGGTGGGCGCCCAGCTGGCAGGGTGGAGCCTGGGCGCCATGGCCATCCCCAACTCCATTCCTACCCTTTGGGGTGAGTGGCTCTTCCCCTCCTGCTTTAGTTTTCACCAGGGACCCATCTCAGGGTGGAAGGTGAGGGAAACTGAGGCCCAGAAAGCCCTCTCAGCCAGCTTCGGAGAGCCAGAGGTCTGAGGGAGGGCGAGGGAGGGCACAGCAGTGGCTGCCAGGCAGGGCCCAGGGGGAACCCCAGACCCTGGGAGGAGCAGGCTTGCTCAAGGAGCCTGGCGTGCAGGTCAGAGAGCAGCCCTGCCTGGACTGGCATCCCCGCCTGGGCAGGACCCGAAGGCCAGCGCGGTGCCCCCGGCAGGCTTGCCCTGCGTCAGCCAGTGTCTGCATCACCAGGGCACGGCCCACAGCCAGGGAGGGCCCTGGACAGGCTGGGCCCGCCCCCCGTGCTGGGGCCCCCCTCGCCCCCCGCTCCCTGCCGCCATGCTCCCGCAAAAGCTTCTTCACAAAACAGGCAGGAGGCTGGGTGTCATTTCCTGCCTCCTGACAAGGGGGCCAGGGAGGTGGTCACTGCTGGGCTCGGCGGGCGCGGCGCGGCCCCGCGGAGTGGCCGGGCGCCGTCTCCCACCCCCATCCTCCCGGAGGAGGACTCTGGACGGGGAGCGGGGTTTCACTATTTTCTTCTTTCTTTTCATTTTTATTCTTACGGTAGAGGTGACGCACAGAGGGTTACCGTTCCATAAGTCAGGCAGAGTCCATTTTCTTTTGGGCAATGTCACCCCTTCCTTCACCCTCGCCCAGAATAGACTGGACTTTTTCAATCCCTAGGGGACTGTTCAGATGGCCCACGGCTTGCCCGATCCAGCTATGTGTGCGACAGACAGTGGAGGCAATTCCAGGCGTCTTGGCTTCTTGACTCTACATTACATTTCTACTTGGAAGGATTTCAAATGACAGGTCCCCGAGGGGCCAGCGCCAGCGCCGGAGGGAGAAGCAGCCTCTCCTCGGGGGCCGGCCGCGTGCACAGTCCCCTCCTCGGGGGCCGGCCGCGTGCACAGTCCCCTCCTCGGGGGCCAGCCACGCGCACAGCCCCACACACAAGTCCCCTCCTCGGGGGCCAGCCGCGCGCACAGTCCCCTCCTCGGGGGGCCGGCCGCGCGCACAGCCGCACACACAGTCCCCTCTCGGGGGCCGGCCGCGCGCATGAGACCCGGACACACAGGTCTGGAGCAGAGCTTGTGTGGGAGAACAGAATATCTTAATTTTTAAGGTATTTCTCGGTTGTTTCTCTGGACTACTGCTTTTGTGTCCTGCTTAAGAAAACATTTGCTCTAGCCAAGTGACTTCTGCTTTCTGCCAGGCTTTTTGTCAAGCTGTCCAACTCCATGAAGTTAATGTTTTTAGTGACTGAGTTAGGACTGAAAAATTAATGTTTTTCCATGTGAATACCCCGTGGGCCCAGCACCATTTCATTTAGAAGAGCGTTTCTTCCCCATGGTTTACGTGTATCATTTGATCTGGGTTGTTCCATTGGCGTGAATCTGCCCTTCCCTGTGGATGGGAGCTGCTGGCAATCTTTCCAACTGTACATCTTCTTTTGTTCAAATCTTCACATCCTTTTAATTGCATTTTTTTGGTTTAGTATATGAGCACATGGATAAATACCCAATAATAGAGATGATGTGTGGTGTGCATGTTCATCGTATGTGTGTGTGTGTATGTATATATAGTTCAGCATACTATTTTAGTGCCATCATGAGTCAGCTGTACATATTTTTATGTTCACATGTGCTTTGTGGTATACAATGTGTCTTTAGCTCACCATGCCCAGGGGTTGCCCTTCTATCCGTCAGGTGGTGAGTATATTTCTTTTTTGTTCAATGTCACCTCTTCCTTCATGTTCCCCCAGTGTTCCCTCCTGTCCCCGCCTACAAGTTACATAGTCCATTTTCCACATAGTGTCTGCTGAGTGCTTGCATCTATCTACCCTTCCTCCCTCCATTTGTTTCTCCTCTCTGCCCTCCCCCTAAAAAGACAAAAACAACCCACAAGCAAAAACAAACACCACCACCACCACCAAAAACCCTAATGTTTCTATTTCCTGGAATTCGTTTAGGTAAACAGTATTTTAAGTGTTCAGAGGAGTTACACCTTTGGGCTTTTCCCCGTGAGCATCTTCCTTCAGTCTGACTTTGTGTGTGAATGCTAGAGTCCTGTATGTTATCATGTCCAGTTGTATCTTAGATCCAGCTTCTACATAGGAGAGGAAACACATACCATTTATCTCTCTGAGCTTGGTTTACCTCGCTTAGCATGGTTTGTTCTAGATCCATTCATTACTGTACAAATGACATAATATTTTTTCTGAGGGATGAATAGAATTCCATTATCTATAGTGCCACATCTTTTTAATCCACACATCTATTGTAGGGCGTCTGGGCTGTTTCCATAGCTTGGCTGTTGTGAATAGTGCAGCAATGAACTTGGACGTGAAGTGTCTTTACGATATCCTGGCTTGTGAGGAGTGGTAGGGCTGAAGTTTAGCTTTTCATTTTTTGTTTTTCCTGGTTTGGGGCGCTGTCCCTGAACGTTTTTGTTCAAGACTAGTGTTCTACCACTTTGAGCCACAGCGCCACTTCTGTTTGCTTGAGTGGTTAATCGGAGATAAAAGTCCCATGGGGACTTTTCTGCCCAGGCTGGCTTTGAACTGTGAACCTCAGATCTTAGTCTCCTGAGTAGCTAGGATTACAGCATGAGCCATCAGTGCCCAGCCTATGTTTAGTTTTCTAAGGAACCTCCAAACTGCTGTCCAGAGTGGTTGTTCTGGTTTACATTCCCACCTGCAGTGCAGCAGGGCTCCTTTCCCTGCCAACATTTGTTGTTCGAATTCTTGATGTTGGCCAATCTAATTGGGGTGAGATAGAATCTCAAAGTTGTTTGGATTTGTATTTCCTTTATGGCCAGGGATGGTGAGCATTTCCTCATGGATCTACTTGCCAATGTTTTCTTCTTCGGAGAAGTCTCTTTTAGTGCCTTTGCCCATTTATTGATGGTCTATTAGTTTGGAGAGGGGTTCGCTTCTTGAGATCTTTGTATATTCTAGATATTAGGCCTCTGTCAGATATATTGGTATAATCTTCTCAGTCTGTTTGGCTGTCTTTCTAACTTAGTAATTAAGTCCCTTAGTGTGCAGAAACCTTTTCTCTTAGGTGTAATCCCATTTTTCAAGTCTCTGTCCCGTCCGCTGGGCCCTGGGAAGCCACCCCCTGTATGAGCACAGTCAGCTGACAATTATCTTATTAATTTGCATATTGTCTCATAGTTGCTTCTGAGCTACAATGGCAGACCAGCTCATGCCTGGGATCCTAGCTACTGGGGAGGTGAGATCTGAGGAGTGTGTGAAGCCAGCTGTGGGAGAAAAATCCTCATGAGACTCTTATGTCCAGTTAACCACCAGAAAACCAGAAGTAGAGCTGTAGCTCGAGAGCTTAGAGGCAGTGCCCAGGCCCTGAGTTCAAGCCCCATGACTGACAGAAAAAGAAAGAAACCATATGGCTGGTGAACTCTGAGGTCTTTTTCAAGAAGAGTTTTCTGGTGCTTTCTTTCTATGGCGTGGGTCATTGAAAGGGGAGAGCAGGAAGCTGCAGCCGGGTGCCCAGGACCGTCACAGCAGCGAAGGGCCTGGGGCGGCGGCCCTGGGTCTCCGCTCCGTGAGGTGCAGCCTTCTTAGATTGTGTAAGGACATTCCAATGATTGCACAAGGGCAAAATCAGGTCCTGCTGTGACTCCGGGTAGGTTCCTGCCCCAGGTGCATACACACCAGCCGATCTGCGGGAGGGACTAGCCCAGCCCCCTTCAGTGTTTCTTGAGGGCGATGACTCCTCAGTCTTCGTTGGCTTGGGACAGCTCTGTTTTGCTTCATTTTGAAGGACAGTTCTCTGGGCACCAAACCCTTGGCTAATATATTTTTTCTTTCATGTCTGCAAACACTTGCTCTCGTGCTTTCCCAGCTCCAGGCTCCATTGAGAAGCTGAGTGTCTGCTCTCAGGGCCTTTGCAGGGGATATGTCTCTCTCTTGAGCATTTTCACTGCGATCTCTTCTGCCGTTGGATCTGTGGTTGTTTTCAGCCATTGCTTCTTTTTCTGCCTCTTTCTCTTCACCTGAATGTTGCCGCGCTCAGCTCTGCAGCTCCACTCAGCTCATATTTCTTCGATCTTTCCTCTGCTTGATCTTCAACTGGTGAATTTCTATGTGCGAAGTCTCTTCCTCTTACCCATCAAATCTGCAGCAGTCCCTGAGGTAGATTCCCAACCCCATAATTTCCCCCCGACTTTTAAGAATTTCTATTTATTTTCTCATATCTATAATCCTAGCAATTCAGAAAGCTGAGATCTGAGGATACTGAGGTTCAAAGCCAGGCTGAGCAGTCTGTGAGACTTTGATCTCCAATTAACCATCAAAACATAGCCAGAAGTGGAGCTATGGCTTAAGTCACAGAGTGCTCACCTTGACCAATAAAGTTCAGGCTCAGAGACAGTGCCCAGGCCTATGCTCAAGCCCCAGAAATCTCACACACACTCACACACACACGCACATGCACACGCACGCACACAATGCCGTCGCACATGTATACCCCCCCACATGTGCGTGCACACACACACACACACACACACACACACACACACTTCTATTTCTTTATGCGATCTCTTCATTGAACATTATCATCAGGGATTTTGTTTTTGTTTTTATGCCAGTCCTAGTGCTCTGCCAGGTCTGCCTCTGGCATTTTGCTGGTTAATTGGAGGTAAGAGTTTTGTGGGCCTTCTTTCCTGGGCTGATTCTGAGCCTTGACCCTCAGACCTCAGCCTCCAGAGTAGCTCAGATTATAGGCGTGAGCCACTGATGCCTGGCTTCAGTTGTGTGAACGCATTGTTTTGGTGGCGTTGGGATCAAACCCTGGGCCTTGCGCGTGATCGACAGGGCTCTGCCATGAGCTGTGCTCCCCTCGGATGCTGTGACAAGGTCTCTCTGGCCTGCAGCGGCCGTCCCCCCCCCCCCCCCCCCCCCCCCGCCTCAACCTCCCGTGCGCGCCGCGTGCCTGCGTGCGTCCCCATAGCTTGGAGCAGCTTTGGCGTCTGGGTTACGAGCGCCGTCTGTGGGCACTGGAGGCAGAGCTGACCCATGCTTTGCTCCTCAGAGTAGGTCCTGCCTTATTGATTCTTTGTGTGATCTGAAACTTGCGGTGATTGCTCGACATTTAAGAGAATGGGTGGGGCTTGAGTTTACCTCAACTATGGCCACTATTTGTGTGTTCCTTCCTTCCCACCTTCCCTCCTTCCTTCCTTCCTTCCCACCTTCCCTCCTTCTTTCCTTCCTTCCTTCCTTCCTTCCTTCCTTCCTTCCTTCCTTCCTTCTTCCCTCCCTCTTTCCCTCCCTCCCTCTTTCCCTCCCTCCCTCCCTCCCTCTCTCTCTCTCTCTCTCTCTCTCTCTCTCTTTCTTTTTGTTGGTCGTGGGACTTGAACTCTGGGCCTGGGTGCCGTCCCTTAGCTCTTCAGCTCAAGGTGAGCGCTCTACCACTTCAGCCACAGTGCCACTTCTGGTTTATTGGAGATAAAAGTCTCACAGACTTTCCTGCCTGGCTGGCTTTGAACCGTGATCCTCAGATCTCAGCCTCCTGAGTAGCTAGGATGACAGGCGCATGAGCCACTGGCGCCCGGCCTATTTGTGTTTCTTTCTGAAGTTTTGGACTAGCCTGTGAAGTCCCGATGTCTGACTCTGCATGCTGCCAGCCTGGCCCGCCCAGCGGCTGTGCATCTGCCAGCAAGCCAGTGTCTGCCCCGAGTCCTTCCTCCGCCCGCCCCGCATCCCTGTGGCTCACTAATGGCTTCCCCCTCTCTTCCGCAGTGTCCGACCCACAGCTGCAGCCGGGGGGAGCCCAGGCCGAGAGCACGGAGGAGCACTCTGTAAGTGGAGCGGGGAGCAGGCCACCCCGCCTGGCCCAGCCCCCAGCCTTCGTGGCCTGAGACCTCCTTCTTTCCCGCCAGGCCACCCGAGGTCCTGCGGAGGAGATCATCCGGCCCCGGCCACAGGGGTCCTCACCTGTCTATGAGTACCCGGCCGAGGGTGCTGGCTTTGGGGTCCAGGTAAGGTTCTGGCACAGCTTGCCACCGAGGGAAGGTGTAGTATGGGTCGGGGGGAGTGTGGGTGTAGGCAGGACAGGGGCAGGTGTGGGAGCAGAGCCCTTGTCCCTGGGTGGGGGGTCGCCAGGAGCGCTGGTCTGCGAAGCCTTATTTTTATGATTGAAGTTCCGTCCTCTCCACACTCCGCCCCCTGTGGGAAAGTGGGAGCCCAAGATCTGTCTCTCTTGGGGAGCCCCAAGTCTGGGCTCCTTTGCACAGGCCGCCCTGGGGCCCTGGGGCTTCTGTCTGCTGCCCCTCCGCTCCCCGTGGGGCAACTGTAACCTTCAGCCCTGTGGCTGCAGGCGGGCGCCCCGGGCAGGCGCCGCTCCGGGAGGCGGAGGTCGTGGTGGAAGCGGCTCTCCGGGGATTCGCAGGACTCCAGCGTGAGCCATGCGCAGGTACCTGGAGGAGGCGGGCGGCGGAGGGAGGAGGCCACCCTCCCCCGGGGCTCGGCCCCTCCAGCCGCGGGGAGGCAGACGCCTGCTCCCAAGTGCTACAGGCAGGGGTGGGGAAGGAAGGGGTCCACCTGAGTCCCCTCCTCTGTCCCCAGCCTCGGCAGCCCATCCCCCGCAGCCATGTGCAGGGTGTCTGGCACACCGTCACCACACCCCGTGTGCTTTTGTCCCAGGCCATGCAGGAGACAGCGGAGGTGACGCTGAAGACGGAGGTGGAGGCCGGAGCCAGTGGCTACAGTGTCACCGGCGGCGGAGCCCAGGGGATCTTTGTCAAGCAAGTGCTGAAGGATTCCTCGGCCGCCAAGCTCTTCAGCCTGAGAGCAGGTGCCACAGCCACCCCATGCCCAGGGTCTCCGTCATCAGCAGAGCGGGGGGCCCTGGATGCTCCCCCGGAGCCCAGGTGGCCTCACAGCCTCTCCAGCCCCTTCGGGCTGAGGCCACACACGCATTTCACCCCGACATTTCCCCTGTGCGCGGAGGAGCTGGGGCTGGCATGGGCAGTGGGCCCCCCTGGCCGTGCCCAGCCCGCCACGCATCAGAGTGGACGCGGCGGACTGAGGGCGCCCCCTTCTCTCCTAGGTGATCAGCTGCTCAGCGCAACCATATTCTTCGACGACATTAAATATGAAGATGCTCTCAAAATTCTACAGTACTCGGAGCCATACAAGGTTCAGTTCAACCTCAGACGGAAACTCCCTGCTCGTGAGGAAGAGGAGTGTGCTGTCCATGACCCCCAGCTAGGCTGGAAGGGCCAGCAGGTGAGGTCCCCTTCTCAGTGGCCGCCCGCGGCTGCCGTGGCCAGCACTGTCACCGTGGCCTGCGTCCAGAGCCTTGGGGTCCCGTGCCTAACCAGCTGTTCCTCCCTGTGGTTCAGGACAAGGAGGCTCCGGACGGGTGCACAGAGACCCCCACGAAGACGCTGGAGGCAGACGGAGACCGAGAGAGACTCATCGCCAAGCCGAGCGGAGGGCGGGGTAGGAGGTCGCAGGACAGGCTCTCTTGGCCCAAATTTCAAGCGATCAGGAGCCGCGGGACACCAGGACCGCGGCGCTCACACAGTTCCTCAGAGGCCTACGAGCGCAGGGATTCGCGCAACCTGTCCCCATCTAGCACTGACACGGAGGCCCTGGGCGGGACGCCAGCAGGCGGCCGGAGGAAAAGGTTCCCCCTGCACCTGCGGCTGAGGAGGAGCTCCGCACAGGGCCGCGCAGGCAGGCCAGCCCCAGGGCAGGGTCACACGGGGGCTCAGCAGCAGCTGGAGCCTGGGGATGGTGATCCGCAGGATGCAGAGAGCGCGGCGGGCGGCAGGCGGGAGAGCAGGACGCAGGCACGGGAGGCCACAAACCTGCCCCTGGAGTCAAGCCTTGTGGGTGGAGAGGAGGAGCCCTGGATCTGGGAAGGCAGGGCAGCTGGAAGACAGCCGGAGACTCCGCAGGGGAAGACACAGGAGGAGGCAGAGACACGCGGGGAGCTGGGCGCCCGCACAGCCCTGGGGAGGCGCAGGGAAGACGGCCCGGAAATGAGGGTCAGCAGACGGTCCCTGCAAGACGACACGGAGGAGGTGGACGTACGCGGACAACCTCCAGAAACCCAGGTCAGAATACGCCCTCTACAGACACCAAAATTTGGATTTTCCAAAGAAAAAGGTCCACAGACAGAAAGAGGCTCTTCTGCTCACGAGGAACGCCGCGCAGAGCAGAGGTCTTGTGGAGAGGGGGCCACGTTGCCCAAAGGGAGCGAAGGCTGGTGGCCCGCGGGCCTTCATGCAGATCAGCCTGGACAGGAGGAAGGGACCACGCACGGAGAACCAGAGACACGAGGCCCCGGAGACATGGAGGAGGCCGCGAACGGCAAGTACCAAAGTCCAGGGAGGACGAAGATGCCAAGGTTCAAAATGCCCTCCTTCTCATGGTCTCCCACAAAACAGGCAGGAGCCGGCTACCACAAACAAATCCAAGAAAAAGAAAGACAGCCAGGAGAAAGACATGAGGGCGAACAGGTAACGATGAAATTAGACATAAAAGACAAGGAGGCCGACGCGGAAGACGGAGGCAAACTAAAACCTGACAGAATACAAAGGCAACGGAAACAAACTGTGACCACAACAGAAGAAAACGACCTTTGTAACACAAGGGAAGGAAACAGGATGACCATGGGAGTGAACATGCAGGTCGCTGGGGCCAAGCTTGAGGGAGACCTGACCCCAGGGGACAAGGACATGACCGCCAAAGACAGCAAGCTCAAAATGCCCAAGTTCAAGATGCCGTCCTTCGGTGGGTCAGGGCCGGACAGGCCTCTGGAGGGTGTGCTCCAGGAGTCCACGCCCAAGGTGCAGGGTGACGTGGACCTTTCCCCTGCCCACAGGGACCTGAAGACCCCTGAGGTCAGCGCTCAGCTGCCCTCTGACAAAGAGCAGGCCAGGCTGGACCAGATGGCCATGAGACTGCCCGAGGGACAGATTCTCAAGGGAGAGCTGGTAGGACACCCTACTGGAGCTGGCCTCAAGGGTCACCTGCCCAAGGTGCAGATGCCCAGCCTGAGGATGCCTAAAGTGGACTTCAAGGGTCCCAAAGTAGAAATCAAGGCCCCCAGTCTAGAGGCGAAGGGCCTCAAGGCTGAAGCAGACACCCCTGATCTAGAGATGTCTCTGCCCAGTATGGAGGTGGACATCCAGACCCCCATTGCCACCCTGGAAGGGGACCTGGCCCTCAGAGACAAGGACATGTCCACCAAAGACAGCAAGTTCAAAATGCCCAAGTTCAAGATGCCATCCTTTGGCTTGTCGGCACCCAGCAAGTCCTCAGGGGCTGAGATAGAGGTGTCAACACCCAAGCAGGGCAAGGGCCTGCCCTCTGTCCACGGGGACCTGAAGACCCCTGAGGTCAGTGTTCAGCTGCCCTCTGCTGAAATGGAGGCCAAGCTGGACCAGGTGGACATGAAGATATCAGAGAGCCAGCTGTCAAAGGGAGAGCTGGAAGGCCACTCTACTGGAGCTGAACTCAAGGGTCACCTGCTCAGCCTGAAGATTCCCAAAGTGGACCTCAAGGGCCCCCAGGTGGACATCAAAGGCCCCAAGCTGGACGTGAAGGGACACATGGCTGAGCCAGGTACCTCTGACCTAGGGGTAGCTGTGCCCAGCGTGGAGGTGGACATCATGGCCTCTGGTGCCAAGCTGGAAGGGGACCTGACCCTGAGGGACAAGGACATGTCTGCCAAAGACAGCAAGCTCAAAATGCCCAAGTTCAAGATGCCGTCCTTCAGTGTGTCGGTGCCCAGCAAGCCCTCAGGGGGCGCTCTGGAGCTATCCACACCCAAGGTGAAGGGTGAAGGCCTGCCATCCATCCGTGGGGACCTGAAGAC